TCTGGCTTGGCTCGGCGTTTTTCTTCGTCTGGCTTGGCTCGGCGTGGCTTGGCCTTTTTTCTCTGTATAGTGTAATATAAAATAATATAATGTGATATGATATAATATAATAAAACAAAATAAAATAAAATAAAATATAATATAATATAATATAATATAGTAGAATAGAATATAACACAATACAATATAATACAATACACAGTATATAAAATATAAAATATAATATATATTATATATTATATATTACATTTAATTTATAATATATCTATATATATATTATATTATGTGTTATTATATACTCTGTATTATATATTATTATATACTCTACATTATATATTATATATGATATATTATATATTACATATTATATATATATATTATATACTGCTCAGGTACCTTCTTGCTCTGATGGTGCTCGTGGCATCTGACCACCTGATCCTCAGCAGAGAGAAGCCCGTCGAGCCCTTGTGGATCACGTACTACGTTTTCATGACACTCAACTTCGACAACATGCTGCCCGGCTTTTTTTGGTACAGCATCATACCAAAAGACACATCGGGGGACACATGCATTCGCATCCTCGAAAGAATTTGGAACTTGGGCTGCAGGCTGGTTCGCTTCATCAGCTACGTGCGTACGATGGAGCGAGCACCAACGTGGAAAGTTGACGTGTATGAGCCCACGTCCCCGACCTCGGCGGATCACGTGCGAAGGTGGCAGCATGCTGGCTTTAAACAACACGCCGAATTCCAGCTGATGATGCTGATGAACTCCAGGTCTGACCACATCCAGCGCCTATTTCTGGTCTGGATACCAGTTGCATTCGCTATTTCGCTGAACACCAGTTCCAGGGCGTCTCGGCCGCAAAGCGCCTGACATTGGAGGCGCTGCGGTGCTGCTCATGCTTACATGGCATCCACACTCACACGGCTATGTAGGTGTTCAACATCTTACCAATTACTCTTCTGCGCTACGGCTTGGTGACGAACGATCGTCCTGTTGCGACTCAATTGCATACTGATCATCGTTGACGCTGGAGAAGCATCTGAAAGCTGTACGCAGCAATCATGAGCGTCTTTTTGCATCCGCAGCTTGAGGTGATGATGACGCCCAGCGTTGGGCTCCCTCACAGCTGCTGCCCTGCAGAGGCAGTCTGGAATAGTACCTCGAGTGATGAATCGATCAAATTCAGCAGCTGGGCCAGCAGCCAGTGCCACCATAGCTGGCTGTGAAGCGCTAACCCTTCGGATTCAACATTGCTTTGCAAGCAAATAGTCTCGACACTCAGAAGATTTGGCACGAGTATTTCTCTCCATCGGATATCGAAAAGCTCCGAGGCATTCCATGTCTGTCTCGGGATGCACCGGAAGATCTCGTCGCCGCACCAGTCGTGTCTTCGACTCAGCCCAATACACGTTCTGTGCCTTAGCAGGAGACCGATGCGCGCCAAAGGACTGCAAAGCGCACCTGTAGTTGCAGCTTTTGAGCTGTGAGGTATTGGGTGGCCTGGCCTCGCCGAAGGGGTACTCCCACCAGTCTGCAGGTTCGAGAAGGTCGTGGAGCAGACGGATCACGAGGGATAGTGTCAGGACGGGAGTTCTCCGCTCTTCTTCCAACTCCAACGCGCACGCCTCCACAAAACCGACTTGCGACTAGCACTGAGCCTGGAAGGGCACGCAACCGCGACTCCCTTGCAGCTCGAGTTCTGGCTGCAGCGACATGGCTATGGGGCCCCTGGGATGTCAATGTGAGCCTTCACCTAGCCCGCCTTGACATCTGCACATGACTGCTGTCATACTCGATCCTCCAAGAGACACACTTGTTTAGACTCTAGACGAAGCATCAGGTGAGTCAGGCAGCGGACATCTTCAACACATTGACGGACACCAACAAGAGGATCGGGATGCTTGGTCCGGATGTTGGAGACGTCCGGTTTGGATATGTGCTGAAAGAGACCAGGAATCTGTCGTGAACGCTGTTGGAATGTCAGAAAGCCAGCCAGCCTTTTTCTTTTTCGCAACTAGTAGTCCAGACCGCAAGGGCGCCGCGGGCGAGTCTAGGATGCAGGAGTATGCACGAGGTGAAGGAAAAGGTGGGGAGAAACATGGATAGTCTGACCAAGGATGTATCACTTTGCATTCCCCTATGTGGCCGAGTTCTCCGTGCGGGGCTGGCCATGGAAGGAGAATGCAGCGATTTATGCAGTCGCCGTGAACATGGCCACAGGCATGGGGTGGTATGGTCTCATAGACAAAGCATGGCATGGTCTTGAACTCTTCAAGCTGTGGAGTTAGCAGTGCCCTGTCCGAGGCGCTTTGAGCCCAGAGCCCGTGTCCTCTGACGTGCTCCTTCGCTTTGATGGGAAGTGCGGTCCACACTGCATGCGCTGCAGTCACCAGGGCATCTGTCGGCAGTGCAAGGCTTCGGGGCTTCGGGTGCACTGGAGTTCAGAGCATTTCAGAGTTCGGCTTTTGCAGGCCGGCTTCAGACCCGACGGTACAACATGCGTCCCATGTGGACCAGGCCTTCTTTGCGAGTGCAGAGCTGCTGGTTGAGGGGTTTTCAATTTGGGCAGGCTGCCAGAAATGTGATGCACTTTCGGCTTCTTCCGAGTGCAGTGAGTGCCAGGCAACTGGGCAGCACCTGTGCACATAACGGTTTGTGTCGTGTAGGGTAGTCTAATCCGGTTAAGCACGAAACCGAATCCAAGGCCGGCTATGGCCTGTCGAGCGACGGACGGGGCCGTTGCCTGCCATGTTCCACAAGGAATTGTCAAAACTGCAATGAAAAAGCTGACTCCCAAGCCCATGAGGCCGGGCTTGTTATTTTCTACGATACCCTCTGCACCAACATGCATTGCATAACATCGAACTCCAGCAGCAACCACGAGAGTCGCCACATGGAACAGTGGCCACGTGGCGACTCCTAGATCCAAGATTTCCCTGACTTCCCGGCGGTCTTTTGCGGAGAATCTTGGAACATGGATCTTGGAATTTGTGAAATTTGACAGTCAATGTGTTCAATACAGTATTCAGTGTGCTTTCTTGTGGGCTGTCATCCTCACTGCATTGAAACTCACTGAAGCACACTGAATGTTGATGTGACGGCTCGCTGAATCCAAGATTCTTCTCAACAGTCGCCGGGCAATCTTGGATCTTGGATCCACCACATTGAAGTTTCGAAACGGCGCTCTGCGGTTCTCTGTCCTGTTACTTCCTCAAATTTCCTCAACATGTGTGGCCTGTCGTTTGCGTTTCGTAGTTGTCATGCGGCGGTCTGCTGTTGCGCAGTTGGTATTTGCATGGCAGAGCAGCAAAACTAGTAAATGGTATTCATACCCGCTCCTTACTTGTTGCTTTCCGGAGAGCTCTCCTGTTGCGGATCATACATTTATTGGCGCCGGCTTCTTGTTTTTTATATTGCTCCAGTTGTACTTCTAGTACTTGCCAAGACGACGAATTTAAGTAATTATCAATCCTGTTAAGAAACTAAGGGCATTGCTGCATTGTGAATACGGAAAGCTCGAGTAGCAGCCAGAACACTCGTAATGCTAGTGATTGATGTTATCCCACTGTCAACAACGCAAGCATCAACATGATGGCTATTGCCACGTACTAATCGCAGAACAGGTATCCCCCGTCGAGTGTGAGCGTCAAAAGTATAGCACTAGTCAATATATTAAGTTTACATAAGTTCACCTCGGAGAGCAGTATCATCATCAGTACTACAGCCACCAATGTTGCTCACATTAGTAGGACTAGGGTTTAACTATATTTCCGTGGCCACGAACGTAGCGACCTGCTAAACAATTAACCATATTACGACTCATCATGTTGCCATTGCTAGTGTCACTCACATCTTGACATCGATCGTTTGACAGAACATCTCGAAATTGCATATATTTGTGTATCACTCATGATGTCATTCGGCTGGAAATTATGACACCGGTGCTGTTTGCCTGCTAGATGTAACAGACGTGCTGTTAGGGTAGGGCGGTTACTTCTATTACTAAGGCTGGGGATCATTGTGTTTGGATCCTCTCGCTCATAACGTAGCGTCATAGGCAAGAGTGGATAGTGTTCTCGTGGGTTCATTGATGAAGCTTTGTATGATGATGCAGCTTCGATGTTGTGGCTCTGTTGCTCAGCTGCAGGTTGTGAAGTAAGACTTAATTCGCTTGTTTTCCATATTCAGGGGTGTGTGTTGAACAGTTCGATGTCTCGCATGATGCTGATGTGTGTGTCGCCCTGATCGGTTCACGAGTGTTCGGACGAGCCACCCCACGTTGCGGTCGCCGCAAACATGTGTGCGACTGCTTGGGTTGCTCAGTGAGTTTCGAACGGTATCGATCGATAGGGACTGGGAATGACTGGGACATGTACAGAGAGAGAGAGAGAGAGATATATATATATGTATAAGTGCAAATATTATATATGTATAACTATATATATATATACACACACACACTATGCATAGATACAGAAATATGTACATCACCTGCTGTCTTTAGCTTGGCTCTGCTTTCCAGTGCCAGGCAACCGCTCGAGAACTGCCGTGCACTCGCCTTACTATACCGCTGTCAAACTTCCGTGCCTTGGCAACACACCTTGCCGTCTTCTCGAGGTCGCTACTGTTTGGAGGGGCATGGCTTGGCGCCTGATGGATCGTGTTTTCCGTGCAAGCAGAAGAACTGAGTCTCGGCTTCGATCTCTGACTTGGTTCCGGAAGGGTCGGTTTTGACCAGCAGCCATGATGGAAGCTCCCGAGCAGCTGCAGCGATGGTGTGCGCAGAATCAGACAGAACCTGCAGAGCCCTGGGAGCTCAAGCGACAGTGCATTGAGGCAAGCTCTGTGATGTAAACCGATGCATCCAATGCCAGAGTGCCTTCGCAATTGTGGAGGACAGTGGACCGTGCTGCTCCTGTATTTCAATGGAAAAATGAAGTTAGCCAAGCTCAAGCTCATGTCTATGTTTCTTCAACAAATCCATGCATCGGCAGCTCATGTGTGAGGATGGCAATGCTACGAGATGCGACCCATGCGGGGAAGCATGCCTACAGTGTGAGAAGCCTGGAAACTGCAGAGCGTGCCGGGACCGCGGTCTCTTTCACGTGTGGGATCGTTTGTTCCAGGTTTGCTCCAGACAGCCAGAAAGTATTGAAGCACGGCATTTCGGCGATGCATGACGTGTCAATTGCTAGTGTTCAAAAAGCCGTCAGTTTAGTCCTGTTGGCTTCGACGCCTGACAGCGGCAATTTCGGCGACAAGAGTAGCAGTTCGACTACTGGCAATATTCCAATTTTTTCTCACGTTGTCACTCCCCAACCCCAAAAACGCAGATGACAATGTAACCAATCTGTAGTTGCAATAGACAGTGCATGTTCCATGAATTTCGATGGACGACGGGTTCCATGTCCAAGTTGCACACCACCATGGAAAATGGCTCATGTATGCAAACTGAGGAGAGAGTAGACACGAGCGACACCACTTCGAGATTAGATTACAGCAGGAACGTCAAGAAGAATAAGAACAACACAAACGATAGCAACAACAATAACAATAGCAACAACAGGAATAACAACAATAACAACAACCAGAACCTCAACAAGACCAGCAACAATAATGACAATTGCTACTACTGCTGCTGCTGGTGCTTCTATAGTAGTGATATTATAGTAGTAGTAGTAGTAGTAGTAGTAGTGGTAGTAGTAGCGGTAGTAGTAGTAGTGGTAGTAGTAGTAGTAGTAGTAGTGGTGGTAGTAGTAGTAGTAGTAGTGGTGGTAG